AAAAAAAAAAAAAAAAAAAAAAAAAAAAAAAAAAACATTGAAACTAAAAATGTAAATAATTGATCTTTATATATTAAAAAATTACAAGAGTTTTTAAAATTAATTAAAACAGTAAAATTATAATTATAAAAAAACTAAATATCATATAAACATGTTCATCTTCATCATTTTATCTGTGTTAGTACGTATTTTTTTTATGAAAAGAAAGGGATAAACCCCACACAAACCTTAAAATCCATGTGAAAAATAAGTCATACAAACATCAATCATGCAGGTCAAATTAATAAAAAGAAGGCATTAAATAATAAGAAATATAGTTGGTATGAGATTTAAATCCCTTCTTTGTCAAGAGATCAGCTACTTGGTTGGCCTCCAATTACAGGATCTGAACGTCATAGCAATCTTGAGGATGTCCTCCACCAAGGTTTTGCATATATGACTCCTACCAATGTCATGTTGAAGCAGGTTCACTTCTAGCATATGTAACGTGTACATGTATATCTTATATAATTAACATGTATAATAAATAAATGTTTTTACATAAAAGAAAATGTTAATTTAGTATTTTAGTTTATTTCCTTGATCAGGTGTTTAACCTGTATATGTCACTGTGTTACAAGGAGACATGTGTTCTATAAGACAGAAAGAAAGAAAGAAAAGAAAAGAAAAGAAAGTATTTTAGGGTTGAAAGTTGAAATGCAATTCTCCTTTAAGTAAGGCGGGCCTAGTCCTAGCTGATGCACGGTGTTGCCCCTAGTTGGATAGAGACATGCTATATACATGAACATAAGAGAAAGTAGGTCTTTTTTAGGGGGAGGGGTTACACGGGGCATTTTTGTGACTATCATATGGCAGGGGCCCCTACCAAGACTCATTTGTGCATGCTCTATTGAAAAGAAAAGGTAAATTTTAAGAGTTTATATATGCAGCACGGGGATTGAACTTGGAAAGTGTACCACTCTTCTTGTTTGTCTGTGGGATTGAATAAAGGGTCAGAAATAAAATACATAGCTTGTTGTGATGCATGCATGTGATTGTGAATGATCTAACCGGTAGTTCAGGCTTTGCTGAAAATAGGAAGCAGATTATGACACTAGGCCGTACTCTTTATCTACCTTAACGATTGGTCGAGACTTGAGACTTGAGACTTGAGACTTGAGACTTGAGACTTGGAATTTTGTATTTGTACTTTGCTGTTTCTGTTCGTTCCGTAGTACACGTCTTCCTCGCATTACCCTCCATCTTATCAATGGGTTTGCGCCCTTTTTATTTTAGAAGTGCTAAATGCTAAAAACAACTCATGAAACCAATAAAAAAACTGGAAGATTTTTACTATATTCTTGAGTTTTTTAATATTTAATATTCATGATAAGGGTAAATATTCAAATCAATTAACTAGTCCTAAAAAAATGTATTTATTATTTTAACTACAGTAATCAAGGTCTTTGATTTTTCTATAGAACCCCAAAATATCTTCAAAAGTTTCGGTCTTTTTAGTTGGTTATAAGATTAATCTTTCATATGAGATTTAGACACACTTAGTATATGTTTGATTTCCGGTTGAAAAACCTCAAACTCACGTTCAACAAAAAAGATGAAAAAATTTGTTTCTTAGTTTGATGTATTAGAACATGTAAATTTTTATTTGGATTGATGTAAACAGGTGTGAGACACGTACACATTTAAAACTCTCGATCCTTCTATAAGAACGTGTTATGTAGAAATGATTAAAATTTAAGTTCTCTTTCATAAGCATAGACAACATATGCTGTCAGAAAATAAATACTTGGAACTCTTTGATAATTAACTAAAAAGACAATTAATCATTTAGTGTGTTTTGTTTCATGGTGGGAATGATTATTGAGAATTGATTTTTACCTGGTTCAACTTGATTTTGTGAAAATATAAGATGTGTTTGAAAATTAGTTGAATTGGGTTAAAAAAAAATATATTCACGAATTTTTATTTTTTTTATTGAAACGTATGTTTTTATGTTAAATGTAATTTCAAAGTGGTATTAAACATAAACATACATAAATGTTCTAATGTTAGGTAAAATTGTTTTTTCTCCCAAATCTTCAGATAATTGTAAAGTGATAAAAAAAAGTAACTTTTGTTTTAAGTCAAAAAACTTACAATGAACTTTATACTAAAATTATTGCTTTCAGAATCAAAACATTTAAACATATAATCACTTCTCTTGTAAATCAACTTTAACTAAATTCAACCTCATTCAAAATCAATTTTGAAAATGCTTATCTAGATACACATTTAGTTGCTTAGATTATAGATAAATTAATATAAAACATTATAGTTCTTGAATTTAGTGGATTAAATGATTAAAATGTTTCATATTTATAATCTTGTGAGTTTATTTGGTGATTTTTTTTTTCTCTTTAAAATTAAATTTGGTTGAGTTAATATGTTTAATGACAAGATTGATGTTCTGACTTCTGATCCCCCTACCCTGTGGTTTGTTGATTTAATTTGCATTTGTATGTGGGCCTGAGGCCGTATCATTGGGCAGTTAGTGGAGCAGAAGACACCATCTTTAATCTAATTGACATTGCCTTAATGGGTTTAAACAAAAATAAAGCTGGGGCTTAAATGCTTAATAAAAATAGAGCCCAACTTTAATATAATAATGAATGAACCATTTTGCAGATTTAGAAAAGGATGTCTGCAGCAGTTGATATTCCTGCCCAGCTGTAATAGGCACCACTTCCGCGTCTTCTTTCTTTCATCTTCTTATTGCTGTAAGAAAAAAAATTTATAGACCATGATTATATTCCATGCAAGGCTCAAAATAAAGGCTGTGTTTTTTTATTCTGACACATACTTAAAAGTTAAAAGTTAAAACTCTAATGAAATCGAGGTAAATAATTTCTCCATTAACACATACCCTTAACACCTTTACATGCATATTGAAGTAAAAAAAGATGTCCTTTATTTTCAAGAAACATTGCCTTGTAATTAAAACAAACACATGGTAATGTTCCCTTCTATCAATCTATGAACAGGTCATAAAGTAAATCACAAAAACCAACCCAAAATTCTGATTGAGCTTATGAATCTCTTTTCATATATTTTTCTCAACTTACTTGTTTCCATTTTATGTGAGATTTCTTTCCCTGACGTTTGTCATTTCAGTATATATTATCTCATCAGATATGCTACACTAGTGGTTAGTTAAAATATATGTGCATACGTATATCTTGGAACATATATATTTCAGCACTGAAGGGCTCATTATATTAACTGTAGAAATGATATATATCAGAACCAGAAAGTTCAAACCCATTTTCTCCAAAATGAATGATATTTTTTTGGTGGAGGGAGTAATTATATTTCATGATACCAACTATTAAACTATCAAGATTAACCAAATGATATAAAGATAATGTAGTATGGGTAAAATTTTATTGTTGTAATTTTAATCGATAAAATAATCAAATTTTATATATTAATTTTTTATAAAGTAAAAAAATTCGATTTACATGAAAAATAATTAATGAAACTATAAACGCTGATGATTCTTACTATGTAATTAATCATTTCTCTCTGCAGAGGGGTTACAATTTATGAAAGAATCAAAATTTCAATATTTTAAATGGATTTTCCAGTAAGAATATCCATCATCAATTATTTTTCTCCTAAACTAAGATGATCAGTCTTTGACTTATGTATTGATCCACGTTTGTTACCAACTAATTAAATCTGATGTGCGTAAAAGAGAGAGTTGTTCTCAAATAGGATGCATCTTGTATACTGGCATAGATGATAATCACCAAATTTATGTGCATCATTATATACTCAACATAATTTTAAAAACAACCAACACATGATAATGAGCACAACCTAACACATTATACCTCTTGCCTAAAGCGTTCATATCTTCATAGCAAATTACACAAACGAGAAACTTCAAGAAATAAACAACAATAGAACTTTTCTCCTAGAAAAACACTGATATTCTATGTGTTAAACTAGCCTAGCGCTTCATTTTTCTCCACAACCCTCACTCCTTTGGCAGATCTGAGCACATTGGCCTGTTTGAAAATGATTGCAAATTAATTAAGACACGCGAGGCAAACATTAGATGCCACATTATGTATAAATATCATGATCAGAAAGAAGAACACATATATAAGAATCATATACGGAGGAAAGCATGTATTACTTGATCTTGGGAAATTTCCACTGCAAAACCATCAACAATGACCAAAGAAGATGTCTTCTTGTAGCTTCCTGGCTCTAGAGTGCTTGCTAAGAGCTCATCATGTTTTCTACTGAGGTACAAATCAAGCTCATGTGACCCTCTCTTGCTTCTAGCAGCAAGAAAAAACAAAACCATAAATTAAAATGAGTACTAGTTAAGAAAATGGTGAAAATCATAACTACACTCATACTAAAATTAAGGAGAAGCTGTGAGAAGAGACCGATCAGCTCGAAGTCGCTCGTATTCAGGATCATAGCTCATGAAGACAAAGTATGACTCGATTTTTGTGCTCCCCATCAAGAATGTGAAGTATCTTTTTTTTTTTTATTATTTATTTCTTGTTAATTTGATTGGAAGATATATATTCGCAGCTAGTGCGGGTCTTCTGCTCCACTGGCCAGCTATTTATACAACAAATAAAGTGACTTTCCAAACAGAAAGAATAATAGAGAAAAAATAAAAAGAGGAGGCCCACGTTGGTTTGAATTTTACGTAAGAGCTAAGAGGTAACTCTTTCCGTTATGCACACCGTCACGGAATTTATAATTTCAACCGACTGCGTATAAAATATAATGAAACTTATTTATTTATTTGTAATTAATAATAGAAAAGCAAAGATTCTGATTTTGGCGGTGCGCCCCTTAAAGAGAATAACAAGTGACTTCTTCATGATGGATGGATCATGATTCATGAAGCACCATGTTCACACTTGGCTCATCATCGTATTAGTAAAATTAAAAAGTCAAATAAAATAAATCTCTCGCGCGTTTGTGCCTGAAAGTCAAACCATAAACTTTTAATTTATTAACTAACATAATTTCTTAAACTAAAATATCTTTAGTAGAAAATTAAAATTATCAAGTTAGTGACATTCAATTAAAGAGATGTAAATGATACAACTAGTAATGTTTTTATCTTCCATTCTATTTTTTTATTTTATTTTATTATTAGGTTATTCAAAATGGAATGGACCTTGATATTCTCCTAAATATCTAAATGACCTGTCACTAAAGATTCGAACTTATGAGCGAGGTGGACAGCTTAGAAGTTACAAGACACTCGCTTCGCTTAGGTAATAATCAATATTCAAGGCATTGACGTGAATAATGCCACGACCACGAGGCTATCTTAAACGGCAACATCGTCAATCAATTTCTCTATCAATTCGGCTGAGGCAAAATTTATTTTAGTGCTCTTTCTATTTCAAAAAAATACTCTTCACTAATTATTCATTAGAGATATTTTTTTCTGTAAATAACAAAAAATAATTGATTTCTCTATGCATTTGTTAAATATTAAATGTGAGTAAGTTTTCCTTTTAACAAAATAATCATGTCCTGATAAGAGATGAGATATTTTTTATATTTTTAGAAAGATTAGTGAGTTATTCTTAAATTTCAGTTTCTTTAGCAAAGCTTCACGGTATTCTTTCTCAAACCTCTTAGTGTATGTCACAATTTTCATTAGTCAAGTTTAGAGAATGTTATCTTTCTTGTTGTGATAACATGAGTATTGGTAGGATATTACATGATGCTGCTGAAAGATGGATTGTTGGTTTCTTCAAAAATATGAGACAAGGGGATTAGTATGTGTTTGCTTAGTGCTTAACTATAAAGTGTAGCCTTCTTAAATTTTCTTTCTTTTTTCTTTCTTTTTTCTTTGTCTTTTATTTTTCTATGTAAAAAACTACTAGATGTGAAAATCTATCCAAAAATAAGCGTGAAACGTGAAATTAAAATTAATTATTTTAATTAGAAATATATTCCAATAATTTATATTACATTTTTTAATATTCTTCATAACAATATTTATTATGTTTCACACTTTTCACTTTTTCCTCTCTTAGCTGTAAGATTTAGAGTGCAAATAATTTTTTATTATTATTAATTTTAATATATATATAAATATTATTTTATATTTTATATTTTTTTATTTCATAATTTAATTATATAAATGCTAATTAATATTGATATACTTAATTAAAATATTAGGTTGACTCAATCTTATCCCTTATATTTAAAATCTTGATCAAATTTAAATAAATAATCCAATTATTATTTTTTTTAGGACAGATAAACAATGATAAACTCATTATAACACATTATTTACTTACTCATAATAATAATAAAAAATAAGACAAATATTATATATTATTTGGTTTGTCATTTTGGAGTAAACCAAATATTTATCTTGTTCTTATCAAATAATTTAAAAGTCCTATAAATTAAGGATGACTTTTAATTTGCTGATGACATAAACAAAATTTATATGAAGAATACATATTATTAAACCCATAAAATATATTTCTTTAAAATAGAAGGTTAAGATTTCGGAACAATATTAATCTTTGGCGGTAGTATCACACTGACCCAAAATAAAAGAATAGAAGCAAAAGTTGGTTTGGCAAGATGATGAATAAATTCCTGTAGGCTGTAGGCATAGTTAAACAATGAGAAATTAAAATTAACCATTCTTGATTATAGTAAAAGCAAATAAGATTTGAGCAAGGATAACATGTTTTGTTTCTAGTATCTTGGCCCAGAACTTGCTCAAAAAGAAAACTGTGTTACCATTGTGTGATCCTCTGTTTCAAACTCGGTCCTTTGAAACAGTAACCGTGCGTTTGTTTCTTGCATTCCTTCCATGGGTTGCATAAGAACATAAATTTGCGAAAAGTAAGGTGGAAGAAAGATACCATAGATGAGACATGAATGGTGAAGGATCAAAAAAACAAGATGTTTATTATGTGAAGAAACACGGAGAGAGCAGGGGATAAGGGAAACATGGAAGTAATTGGAAGTTGAAAGTTGAAACAGTTGTGGTGTGCGTTTATCCCTATCCACGCCCATTTATAGCTGTAGAAGTAGAACAAAGGATATTTATTTATTAATACTTTTAGATATTTTTTAATATCTCCAATACCATACCTGTTATCATAAATTCAAATAACCAGGTTAAGGTTATAGCCCACAGGGTCGCCTCTCCAGTTTCAAAATCCCATTTAACTTTTATCTCCTTCCCACTTATAAATTTTTTTAATACTGTTACAATTTATTTATACAAATAATTTTATATATTGTTAAAAATTCAGCATTTCAGTAGAGAAGTTTTATAATTTTTAGCTGCTATAACAATTTTAATCTTAATTTTTTATTTGAAGCACTTAGCCTTTTTTAAAAAAAATTTATTATGAGTTTTTAATTATTAATGTAAATGGTTAGTTGGTTCAATTTCAATTGCATGAAGCTGATTTTGAATTTTTATTTTTTTTACTTCTTTTTACATCTTGCCGCACAAATTGGGGATCTAAACTTGCATTTCACAGGATGCAAGTTTAACATCTCCTGCTATTATAAAAATTTATTTTAGTGGGTATATTTACTTAAAAAGAGCTTAAATCTTTTCATGGACTTCTATTGCATATTAATTGAGTAGGTAAAATATTATTGAATATTATTAAATTTTAATTAATTATTAAATAGACAGTGATTTTTAATCTTATGATTATCAGCATGTGATTGACTCTCTCATCAATAATTATCAGTATATCATCGTTTATCTACTATTTCTACTCATAAAAAAATTAAGAAATTAAAATAATATGCATAACATCTTAAATTTGAACATGTGTCATCATTATAATTTTAATATATAAAAAAATAAAAAAAAAATAGGAAAAGAATAATCAATCATCGTAAACTTTACTTTTTTTACAAATAGGTATTATAAACTTTTATTTTATCTTAATTAATCATAAACTTTATTTGTTTTATAAATAAACATCATAAACTTTAATTTTGTTTTAATTAATTCTTTAACTTTACTTCTTTTACAAATAAATGCTCTCAACTTTAATTTCATTTTAATTGATTTTGACATTTAATAATTTATTATTTTCTACAAAATTTCTACAATATCAAATTATAATTAAATTAATTATCTTAAATATCAATCATTTGTTAAATTTTTTATGTTACAATTTTTTTCAAAATATAATAAAAAATATGAATTTTAAATAAATAAAAAATAAAAAAGAATGATAAAAATAAAAAAGCCTTTATTTATTTTTTTTTCTTCTTCTAAATTATATAACATTTTGATATATGTGAAAATAAAATTAATATATATGTACAAAAAAACAATAAATAAGTGTGATTTTAAATAAATAAATTATTAATATTTTTTATCTTAATAACTTAATCTCAATAAATAGAAGAAACATTCAAAAAAAAAACTAATTAAAATAATAGTTAATCACCTATACACGGCCAATGTAAAGTTTTTTTACACTGACAACCAATCATATCTCTTAATAGTGTTATGTCAGTTGCTTATTTAATGAAATAAAAATAAAATAAAATAATTTAAAAGATATGATTGGTTGTTAGTATAAAAAATTTTACACCGACAGTATATGAATGATTAACTTTTAAAATAAAATTGTGATTAAGGTGTTTATTTATAAAAATGATAAAATTTAAGAATAAATTATAATAAAATTAAAGTTTATACAGTTCATTTATTAATAAGACAAGTTTAAGGATAAATTTAAATAAATTTAAAATTTGTGTTTAACCGACTAAATATTTTTTTCCCTAAAAAAAATTGTTCACTCCATTGATTTTTTATAATATTTGGATAGTACAGATTTTCTGTCGCTGGACCACCCCCAAGGACGCTGCCCACGTTGAAATTCAATTACTTCACTTGATTTAGGCTCCTCTTTCATTTTCGCATGGCCCATACAACACGTCCTTTTCTCCGTTAGTTGGCCCATACAACAGCCCATTAATTCGAACTCTTCATTTCGCATAATCAAAAGGTCATGATTTATACACCTCTTTTTTTTATAACTACACCTTCTTTCATTTACAAAAAAATAATTTTTAAAATATCTTTAAAATATTACTCATTCTCTCCCTTTTTTTAGTTTTTACACATGCTTGAGATGTAGAATTGATGTCCGATAACATTATAGACATAGGTGACTTCCTTGATAGTGTTGAAGGTATCGAATTAAATGTGAGTTTTTCTTCAAAATCTTCTTCCCATTTACACCTATAGAAATTAAGTTTAGTATTCCAAATAATTTGTATTCCAAAAAGTATTTTTTTAAATAGTAAAATTAGTGTTCTAGAAAATACTTTTTAAAAATATTGTTTTACATAATTTTAAAAAGTTCTTTCCATAATACTAAATCTTCTGTTTCGAATTTTTTTTTTTCAAAATTATGTAAAACAACAAACTTTTGGCAAGTACTTTTTTTAACACTAATTTTAGTATTTTGAAAAGTACCTTATAGAATTATATTTTTTACATACTTCCAAAAAAATACATCTAGAACACTAAATTTATTGTTCCAAAATTATGTAGAATAACATATTCAAAAAGTATTTTTCATAACAGTAAATTTATTGTTCCAAAAAGTATTTTTCAAAAATATGTAAAAAAAATAATTTTATAAAATACTTTTTAGAACACTAATTTCACTATTTCAGAATATTGAAATCAATGTTTTGAAAAGTATTTTTTGAAACACTAAATTCAATATTAAGGTTTCTAAAAGTGTTAAAAAGGATAAAGTATTTGAAGAGGAAACATGTATCTAACTTGATACCTTTGAAACTGTTGAGAAAGCTGCATGTGTCTACAAGCAATCACACATAAGTTCTACAGTTTAGGTGTATTTGAAAATTGAAAGAAGTGGGGGGAAAAAGAGATTAATAAAAAAATTAAAATAATTAAAATTACCTACTAAAATAGGTGAAGAGTGGAAGAAATACAAAAAAGTATATATGAAAATCGAAAAGAAGAGATAAGTAAATGTATGAAGAAAAAAAAGTACTAAAATAAAAGTTAGAAGTATAAAATTAAAAAATAAATAAAGGTTAAAGATATTTTAAGAATTTTTTTTAAAAATTAAAAAAAAAGTCTGCTTATGAAAAAAGGGGGAAAAAAGTATATATATATATATATATATATATATATAATCCTAATCAAATGGGCCAAACATAAGCATTCCATATTCCTTTAAAAAATTCACAGCCCATTCTTTCACTTGGGCTTCATTTCCAATATATTTCCACATCCTTGGCGTTGATTGGTTCTCTCGACAGCGAAGCCCATCATCCATGGAGATTCTACAATAGAAAGGAAAAGAGCACCCAATTGCGCTAAAGGGGATGCAATTTCGTTCGTTCCAATAGAATTTTTTTGTCTGAATTATACGTACTTTGGAAATAATTCTTGTATATTTTGTTTTATATTACAAAAGAGATTAATATTTTTATTTAATTAAATTTAGAAAATATTTTAAATTAATTTAGTGTGTATTTTAAAAACTAGACATTTTATTTCAACAGATGCCAGGTAATTCTAGAAACTTCATTTTCTTTATTGTAAATATATATATATTTCAAATAGTTCTTTAAGAGCTTTCTCTCCGATATATTTTCTTTTTCCTTTTTTGCTTTGCGAGTTAAAAAACTAAAAATTACTAATTCTGTATTAACTCAATGTAGTTGAGGAGGAGTTTGTCAAATAATGCAATCAAATATGCATTGCAAACACTACAAACAGTTTGGTTGTTATATCTTAACTTAAATATATAATTGTCTTCATATGTAAAATATTTAATTAGATTCTCAAAACTAATGAATTTTTGAAAATGAAGAGGTGTGAATTTTCAAATGTGTTAGCATTTTTAAAATTTAATTTCTGTAATATTTTTTTTTTGGTAATGTTATGTAATATTATTTAATACGTTTTGAAAAGTAAATTCAGAAAATTTATCTATTATCAAAAATAAAATTCTGTTATTTGGTTTTGAGAAAGAGTTTTGGAGGAAAATTACAAAAAAGCTTGAAGAGAAATTACAAAAAAAAAAAAAAAAAGGGATGTATCAGTAAGAAGAAATAGTAAAGTAATTTTTATTTATATTTTTCAATTTTTTTAAATTTTAATTTTATTAAATATTATTTATTTTCTTA